AACTTTAATGACTAATAAGTGCCTATGGCATCATTAATTTTAGTTCTGCATTTCTGGACCAGTGCAAATCAAAAGGTTACATAATCCAATGGGGGAGAACCAAGAGAATTTATAAAGAAGAGATGGAGTAAAATTTGTAATTTAGGCGTATTTAGTGCTGCTCCAGGCATAGTACTGTTTATTTAAAAATAGAAAAGGAACACTTTTTGATGAAGGTAGAAGTTTGTGAAACCTGAATATTAAGGTTCAAAGCATAGTCTGTTACTCCTTGTTCCTCATCCATCTGAGAATCTCCACATTTTTGGCTCTAATCATCCAGAACAATCTGAAGTTAAGTGATATTTGATAAATGTATTCTCAATAGTTTGAGTGCATAGAGAGTGAGAGAATGACCATGCCTGGGCGTGAAGACAGGAAGAACACACGTTTGTAAGGATGAAATACTACCCATAGGAATTCCAGTTTTCTGGAATGATTATTATCATTCTCATTTTTATCGGAATATTTCAAATTATTTCTCCTTGTTTCTGCCACTCACCACACTGTGGAAAATCACCATCGTTTCTGTGTTGCTGTGTTTCCACAGTGCCTGCCCCAGTATAACATTCTTAACCATTGATTTGATAAAATTATAAAATGAATTTTACAAAATGCATTTACAGTAAGACATACACACAGACATTTTCCTTTCTCTTTTTTTTTTTTTAAGTTTAGCTCCCACATATAAGGGAGAACATGTGATATTTGTCTTTCTGGGTCCATCTTATTTCACTCAACATGAAGTCCATCAGTTGTGTCCATTTTGCTACAAAGGTGGAATTTCATTCTTTTTTATAGCTCTGTAATATTCCATTGTGTTTGTATACTGGATTTTCTTTATCCATTCATCTCATAATGGACACCTTGGTTGGTTCCAGATTTTGGCTGTTGTGAACATGGCTGCTATAAACATGGTGGTGCAGGTGTATCTCTGATACATTGCGTTCAAGACTGTCGGGTATATACCCAGTAGTGGGATTGCTGGATCATAAGGCAAGTCTATTTCTAGTGTTTTAAGAAATCTGTGCACTGTTTACCACAGTGGCTGTACTAGTTTACATTCCCACCAGTAGTGTATAAGCATTCCCTTTTGTCCACATCCTTGCCAGCATTTGTTACTCTCCATGTTCTGGATTTTAGCTATTCTGACAAGAATGAAATAATATCTCATTGTGATTTTGATTGCGTTTCCTTGATAGCTAGTGATATTGCGCATATTTTCATGTATTTGTTGGTTATTTGTATTTCTTCTTTTGGGAACTGTCTATTGAAGTCTTTTGTCCATTTCTCAACTGGATTGGTTCTTTTTGTGTGTTGAGTTTTTAAAGTTGCTGATATATTCTGGATATTAATCCTTTGTCAGATAGGTGATTGGCAAATATTTTTCCCATTCTGATGGATGTTTCTTGACACTTGATCATTTCCTTTGCTGTGCAAAAGCTTCTGATTTTGATACAGTCTGATTTGTTTAGTTTTCTTTTGTTGCCCATGCTTTAGGGGTCTTGTCCAAGAAGTTGTGCCCTATACCAACATCTTGCAGTGTTTCAATTTCATAGTCTCAGATTTTAAATTTAGGTCTTTGATCCATCTTGAGTTGATTTTTTTCCTGTACCATCAAGTAAACTGTGCAAGTAAAACAAAATAAAATGTTTTCTCAAACACAGGCAAAGTCAACTGTATTCCAACTACTGCTTGGCTAACAGCAAATGAATGCTATTATTACAGTTTCAAAGATGAAAGTTATACATCTTAGAGGTGATGAAATATACTATACTTTCATCATAATCTCATTTAGATATGTAAAAAACATGTAATATTGTTTCTGCTTTCTGAAAACTGGAGATTTTTCCTCCTATGTTTAATACCTTGTCAACCTTTACAGGTAGGCCATTTATATTTAACAAGCATATGTATGTAGCTTGATTTTAAAGTAATCATCTGATTTAATTGTGTTGTATCCATTACTATTTATTTTTTTTTTTTGGCCAATTCCATTTGTTGATTTTTTTTTAAAAGAAATATGCTTAGCCCTTGAAGATTTTGTGAAATTTTCAACTTCTTTATTTTTATGTAACAGTTTTTCTTTTATATTGATATGTCCTGTTATTAAGTGCATAAATGTTGTATACATGTTTTTTAAGTTTTGTTGTGCTTGATTTTACATTGATATATCGGATTCCTTTTTGATGACAGTACAAATACATAAAATATTCTTTTACTTACATAAAATATTATTTCCAGTTTTTGTTCTATGTTTATTATTTTTAGTTTGTTTTGGAAACTATGAATTTGATTATCTTTGTTTTGTAAAATAAGATTCTACATTTTAAATGAGAATTATAACATACAATAGATATATGATTACAGATGTGATTGGATATACTTTCTGTTTACCATTTTGTTATGTCTGAAGCATTGAATAAATTAGATGCCATTTTTGTCCTTGTGCATTTTACTGTATAATATGCAATATTTTAAATAATACTTTACTTTTTATATATCATGTTACAAGTGAAAAGTACTTTCTCATGTACTGTTTTGTTTGTTCTCCAAAAGCAAATATTCTCCTCTCTCTTTATTCTTCTCTGAGGCTGTTGCCATCTCTGTTAGTAAGGATGGGACCTTAGTCATAGGGAGCTATGACAATTTGGTCTCTAGAATCCATTCTTCAATTCTTTAAAACCATGAAGTAAAACCTGCACAGGCCAGCACCACAGCTCACTAGGCTAATCCTCCGCCTGTGGCGCTGGCACCCTGGGTTCTAGTCCCCATCGGGGCGCCGGATTCTATCCCGGTTGCACCTCTTCCAGTCCAGCTCTCTGCTGTGGCCAGGGAGTGCAGTAGAGGATGGCCCAAGTGCTTGGGCCCTGCACCCCATGGGAGACCAGGAGGAAGCACCTGGCTCCTGGCTTCAGATCAGCGCAGCGGGATGTCTGTAGCGGCCATTTGGGAGGTGAACCAACGGAAGGAAGACCTTTCTCTCTGTCTCTTTCTCTCTCTCTCTCCCTAACTCTGCCTGTCCAAAAAAAAAAAACAAACCAACCTGCACAGACACTCAGGAAGAACTCTGTGGAATTTGCTGCATCATATTTTAGTGCTATTTTTAGAGTCACCCAATGTAAAATTCTTTCTATGTTATTCATATAGTTCCTTCTTCTCTTTGTTTTTTTTTTGTTTGTTTGTTTGTTTGTTTTTTTTGACAGGCAGAGTGGATAGTGAGAGGGAGAGACAGAGAGAAAGGTCTTCCTTTTGCCGTTGGTTCACCCTCCAATGGCCGCCACGGCTGGCGCGCTGCGGCCGGCACACCGCGCTGATCCGAAGCCAGGAGCCAGGTGCTTCTCCTGGTCTCCCATGGGGTGTAGGGCCCAAGCACTTGGGCCATCCTCCACTGCCTTCCTGGGCCACAGCAGAGAGCTGGCCTGGAAGAAGGGCAACCGGGAAAGAATCCGGCGCCCCGACCAGGACTAGAACCCGGTGTGCTGGCGCCACTAGGTGGAGGATTAGCCTATTAAGGCGCGGCGCCGACCCCTTCTTCTCTTTGTTTGACATTTTGCTTGGACCAGAGAGACAGTAATTTCAAAACATAGTTTTTGATCTCATGGAGCTTGACTTTGATTTTGAAGTGAAGCACTTTGGGTATAGTCCCTGATCACGGTGATTTTGTCTCAGAAACTAAGAGCAGTTCTTTGGTCTCATTTTTGTTCTCCTTGTCCTTCAATTGGCTAACCTCGTTCACTTCTGCTCATGCCTCACTTAGAAGTAACTTCTTCCAGAAGCCTGAAATCTCTAGACCACACTGTGTTCCTCCTGCCATGCATTTTGAATATTACCCAGAACTGCACACCAATACTTTACTAGTTACTAGCATGTCTGCCCCCTGCCCCAAGTTGTCTCTGATTCATTCAATTCTGTGTCCTTGATGACTACCACAGGGCCTGGAAGATGGTACGGACCCAAACAGTCCAAGCTGAATGTGCGTAGGCTGCATTCTGCTCTGTTTTCAGCAGTAACCATCTGGCATGCAGTACATACTCAACAGTGGAATCTAAACTGTTGTCACAGGGGCTACAGCAAAGCTATTGCATCTGCTGTAGAAGTTATAATTCCTCAGTAATTCAGGCCAGATAATGTGGCACAAATAAATTCATTGGTTTTTTTTTCAGACTTACTAAGTGTTTCAGTGTTACCAATTTTATAGTATCCTCCAATTTGAGAAGAAAAATTTGAAGAGCCCTGAAAGTTCCATTTAATTTATAATATAAATGGAAAAAGCATTAAGATCAGAACATATAGTTGTGGACAAATTGAACTTGCTTTATTGAAAATCAGAATGGCTTAAGGTATTACTTAAGAATATTCTTTTTAACTTGTATCTGGATGTGTTTGTCTTAATTGATAAAATTGCAACCATTTCTGTTTGATAAAGTGTGTTTGCTCAAATATGTTCAAGAGTTCTGGAAACCTAAAATTATTTTTTATGAATATAGTTATTAAAACATTACAACCAATAATTAATTTTAATAGCCTAATATATTTACATACTTTTTCTTTTTTTTTTTTACATACTTTTTCATCTATCAAATAATCATACCCTCACGGAGGAAGCAGTAGATAATTGAAATTATAATTGCATTGGCTAATTGTGTGTGCTTGTTTTTTAATTAAAGTATAAGTGTACATATATAAATTTTTAAGGGAGAAAATTAGACATGTATTATGGACATGTATTCCTTCTGATATATAGATATGTTGAACATAAAACCTAAAGGTAAAGATCATTGAATTATGGTTAAAAATAAGGAGTGGAGAACATGCAGCTACATATACTAAAAAAAAAATCTACCCACTTGTCTTGTATTCGCTTTGTTCAGAAGGTAATGGTGACTTTGAAGTAGAAAAATATTGATTCATCATGTTATAGCCAGAGGGATATTAATACATTTTCCCCCTTTTCCTCCTAGCACACTGATTTATGTCAGTACATGGACAAGCACCCTGGGGGGCTGCATCCAGAGAATGTGAAGGTAGGAAAAGAGCTTTTTTAAGCTAATAGTTCACATTTTCATGTACTTTTTTAACAACCAAATTCTTAACATCTCTACCGTGTGTGTGTGTGTGTGTGTGTGTGTGTGTGTGTAAATTTTTGGGTAAAGAGAAGTAATATCGAAGTAACCCGCAGCCATTGCTTCCATTTAGCATTAGAAACCATGTCTTAACATTAGATGTATTCACTGGAACCTTGTTGTCTAGACCCTAGCCTGTTCTCTCTTCATGAAGAAACACCTGCCAGCAGTGAGTGAGATGTACTTTAATCCACTTTATACTCTTTAAAGGGAGTCTCAGGTATATATCCTTGATTTCAATGTAAAGCATCTTTCTGATCCAAGGCAGTGTTGTGGGGGCTCAAAATGTGTATTTTTCATTTGTGTGTACAAACATATAAAAAGCATTGTACTTCATACTGATCTTTTTTCGTTGTTTTTACCAGAAATTTGATTAGTATGTGTCAAAAGAACTAAGATTTCCTAACATTCAACCTTGCATCCCACCTTTGGAAATTGTTCCAAAATTTTGAGCTTAAAACTGGAGAATCTTTCTTGGCATGTGTTTGGGAATTAGAAGACACCAAATTTATACCTGAGGGCTTAACAATGTGCTTATATTTGGTAATTTGGTAACTACAGTCAAGGTCCAGAGAACCCGTTGAGTGTTGTCCATGTACTAGAAGTAAAATTATTGATACTCAATTTTCCCCACACATTATCAACACTATTCTTTGTGACATGTTTTTTCTTTTTTTTATTTAATAAATGTGAATTTACAAAGTACAACTTTTGTATTATTGTGGCTCCTCCCCCACCTCCCTCCTTCCCGCAGTCCTCCCCTCCCCCACTCCCTCTCCCATCCCGCCCTTCATTTTCAATTACCTTCATATACAGAAGATCAACTTAGTATACACTAAGCAAGGATTTCAACAGGCCGCACTCACACAACTGCACAAGGTATAGGGTATTGTTCGACTAGTAGTGTTGTCTTTAAGTTTCATAGTAAAACACATTTAGGACAGAGATCCTACGTGGGGAGCCTGTACCCAGTGACTCCCGTTGTTGATTTAACAATTGGCACTCTTATTTATGACGTCAGCAATCACCCGAGGCTCTTGCCATGAACTGTCTAGGCTATGGAAGCCCCTTGAGTTCACCAACTCTGAACTTGTTTAGTCAAGGCCGTATCACAGTAGAGGTTCCTTCCTCCCTTCAGAGAAAGGCACCTCTCTCCTTGATGGCCTGTTCCTTCTGCTGGGGTCTTGTTCACTGGGATCTTTGATTTAGGTTGTTTTTGCCACCATGTCATGGCTTTCCATGCCTGTGAGACTCCCATGGGCCTTTTAGCCAGATCCGAAGCCCCAAGGGTTGATTCTGAGGCCAGAGTGCTGTTTGGGGCGTTTGCTATTCTATGAGTCTGCTGTGTGTGTGACATGTTTTTTCTTTTGTATATTTTCCTTGTAGATTTTAGACACACCCACGCCCCCCCACATTTTTTATTTTTTCCTTATAAAAATAATGTATAATATTACCGTGCACATATTTTTACTTAAAATATATTAAGTATATCCTTTAGAGTCAATATATGGATGTGTACTCAGTCCTTCTAATAACTGCGTATTATTCCATATTATGATTAAACTGTAGTTTTCAACTTTGCTAACTTGTGGATCTTTCTTTCTAGACTATTTATATTACAAATGATTCTACAGTTAATGTCAGTATAAAAGTTTTATACTCTTATTTCTCTTGGATGTTTAGTTAATAAGCAGAGTTAATAAGTTAATAAGACAGAGGCACAGTCTCTGCATTAATGAATTTAGAACATTTGCTCACAAAATTGTAAATTGCAGAACTGTTTCCTTCTACTTTCCTTCTACTTTCAAGAGCATTCATTGTAATCAGTCATTGTAGTTTTTCCTGTTCTGTTGAGCAAAAATTTGAATGTTTTTAGTGTTGGCAGTTGTTTGACTACCAGTGACATTGAATGTCTTTTCATGTATTTCCTGACAGTTACAGTTCTGCTTATATAAAAGTTACCTGTTCTTACATATTGTCAATTTTGCATTGGCTTAAATTTTTTTCCTAATAAATAATAGCTGGTTTGTAATATTTTTTACATCAACAATGAGGATTTTATGGTGGTGAGTTAGATTCTTCAGTTTAAAAATATAAGAATGTATAGAAACACTGGCAAAATATTGTTTTTTAAATAAATAATTGAATTGATACTAATAGCCTTGCTTTCCCATGGATCTCCTTCCTTGTTATGGTTTTATTGATATATTTCTCTTATTTAAACATTTTTTACTATGCATTTTTCTTAAAAATCTACATTCTTCACCATGAATGGTTCTGTCATAGTTAGATTGGGGTAGGAACTTTAACAGATGAAAATTCTTGTTCTGTTAATCTTGCAATGTTCAAGTCTTACTTTAAAGATTAATATTATAGCATGGGCATAATTTTGTCCTTTACAATAAAAAAAATCTCAAATTCTCTCCTATGTACATTCTCATGTTCTCTTCTTAAGGTTGATTGGGTTCAAAATCCACACTAGAGTACATTCTTATTTTTGCAGGCACTCTGTCCCTGGGAATCTGCAGAGCCTAGCTAGAAAGACCTTTAGTTCTGGGGAACCCAGATGTGTACCAGCCACTCAGGAAATCATCAGCTCTTAGGAGCAAACTGACTTCCTTTTGAATTTAGTGATGGGATTCGGGTTAAAGAACTGACTGTGCCTTTTTAAAGAACCATGATGTTGCTGGGTTTTTAAGATCCTTATTCAGTTTCCTCACCTACCCTCTGTGTGTCATTAGTTATGGGAAAGTATTGATGGAAAAGTTTACTGGTGAAAGAAAGCAAGGAAGGTCGTTCCACAAAGCATCTCTGTATGATGTGTGTTCAGGCCAATGCCACTGGTGATTTTTGTCATGTTTGTACTGTTATGTTCTCATTCTTCCATCACATTTTGTCACTCCCCCACTCGCGGAGGAATGACACCGGACCCTGAGCTGTTCTCTTTCCCCGGCCCTTCCCGGGTTTGCTGCCCCCCCCCCCCCCCCCGGCCTCCGCAGAGGGGCGGCACCCCCACTGCTTTCCCCGCTTCTGCGGAGGAGCAGCACACCACCGGCCGGCTCTCTCAGGGGTTCCTCAGATGTTCCTCCTGCATGTTGTCTCTCTCCTCCTTTATAGTCCTCTTCCACCAATCCCAACTCTGCTGGCTTTCTCTCCCCACGCGCTGAGCACGCTGCTCTCCTCCAATCAGGGGCAGGATCAGCTCCTGCAGCTTGTTAGTCGAATTGGTGAGGCAGCTGTGTGGAAGTTGTTTACTCCCTCTCAGCGCCATATGGTGGGAGATCAGATGCGTAGAGTTAGTCTTAGCAGTTCCAGTAGTTTAGTCTAGTCTCAGTAATCTCAGTATTTGTCCTCAGTATTTATTTGTCCACAGTCTTAGTACTTATTTGTCTCCTGGGCGATGGGCCCTGCCATGTTACGGGAGACGGGCCCTGCTCCCCACAACATTTTATTTTGCCTTATTTTCTGATGCTCGTGTGGACATGGATCTCCAGGCTGCTGTTTGTCAGCGCAGCTTCATTCCTTGGAACTGCATTACAGCATTTCCTATCCAGGTTTCACATGTATTCTTTTATCTCAAGGCCGTTTATCATATTTCAAGTGCTTAGTGTTTGCTGCCTCTTCCAAGTCCAGGTGTGGCAGTAAACAAGGTTTGGTACTTCCAGAGTTGGTGCCTGCTAGGACATGGTGAGAAACTTAATGGTGAATGGAATGTGTAGTCAGCATAGAAATGAGGTTGAAAGAATTTGATGTGACACCTGCAGTGAGTCCAGGTCTTAGTTATGTAAGCAGGAATTATTTCTATTTGCAAGTTGTCTAATGTGGTCACAGATTGATGCCCTACTTCATATTTTGCCTCTAGAAGAATTTGATGTGATTTATTTAATCTTAAATCTTTTTGAATAAATGAAAGGCAGCAGCATATATTGATCCATCGGTACAGTTTTCTCCAGAGAAAGTGAAATCTTTGGCTCCTTGAGGATTTTCCATTATGTACTGAGCAGTCTTAATTCTTGGAATATTTGAGATACAAGAAATTTCAGTAATCATCTAAGAGGGCTCCAAATTAAACTCCACAGGGTAGTCAATGCAGGTAGCTTTAGTAAATAAAAATACCTAATAAATAAATAAATAAATAAATAATATTCACCTCCTAGATGAGAATCACACTTTAAAATTCTGTTAAATAGGAAAAGTGGGCATTTGTTCAGACTCACAGGTGAGCGTCACCAGCCGTGACGCACAGTGCCCTGGCTCTCCCTGCAGTCCTGAAGGGCGTAGCCCCCCACCTGGATACTTGCCGCAAACCTGGCCTGCAGCTCTGCTGCAATTCTTCAGCCTGCCTGCCTTCACCGCACCTCACTTGGCCAGCAGCAGAGGGCAAACAAGTTAGCTGCAGCTTTTTTAACCTCCCAGAGTGAGAGGGGGGCTTGCCGGGTTGAGCAGTGGTGGGGAGGAGGGAAAACTTGAAAGAAGACAGCGTCTTCAGAAGACAGGTGTCACGCCTCAGAGCAGAAGATCCTGAGTCTCATATGAAGAATCAGAACAGTCAGTCCAGGACAGACCTCCAGAATCCAGGAAACTCCCTGCTAGAAATCCCAGATGACTAATCGTTACGTAGCTTAGAAAGGCAAGTTTACTTGCACTGATCAGCTAGGGAAAGATAGTGATGGCAACTGCAAACAAAATGGTCAATAATAGTCCTAGAGAACTAAAAGCATCCACAAAATTAGCATGCTTTGTTATTTTTAAAAATCGGAATTTGTAGAACACAAAGGATGCCTTGGAAATTAAAAATCAGATGGGGCCAGCATTGTGACTTAACCAGTAAAGCTGCTGCCTTTGATGCTGGCGTTCCTTGTGGGTGCCAGTTCAAGTCCTGGCTATTTTGCTTCCAATCC